GTCTGCATCCAATTTCAACGGCCACCTTCTGGACACGACAGACCCTAGGTTGAACAAAGTGATACAGCTCGACTAGCGTGCGCACAGGTCAGGTAGGATTGGTGGTGCAGGGCCGAAGGGTTTTTGTACAATGACTTCGAGGCGCTGTGAAAGAATGCATCAAGGTGAGTATCGATACCAAGTTCCGAGTATCTGCCTGGGACCTTCATGAAAGAAAAACTGTCCTGAGCAGTTTGCGCATGCTTAGGGTTGCTGACTGTCTATCTTGTGTCCCAGTCTGTCGAGCTACCTCGAGAACAGGCGATATTTTCGAAGCAGACCTGAGGACAGACCATGCCTGATTTCAATAAGTGATGAAGTGGATTGAACATCTTGCAATCCTACATGTTCCCGAAGCAGCGGTGCGAGTTTGTATTCCTTGCTTCACATGCTTCAGGCATGGCTTTTCTGGGGCTTCCCGCAGAGCTGTCTCGCGGGCTCGGCATTCATCTGGGCAGTGAGGCACCATCTTTTGTTGCCGATTCAAGTGTAGGGGTTGATTGAACTCTCAGCCTCCCGATACTATTCTTGTATAGTTGGTATATCCACGGCCGTCTGGATGATTTCCCCGACTCCGACTGCATCATGGTTGAGCATGCGTCCCCAAGTGAATGGCAAAAAGAGCGAAGGTAAGACGGCTTCCATCACATCTACCTAGGAGAGCACACTAGTGGTGTTACTAGTGCGCAAACCTTGCAGAGATACGGGCTGTTGTTGCCTTCGAGACAATTTGAGATTCGCCTTTGAAGGTCAGAGGCGGTTGCCTTCGAATCGACGCTGTCAGCCGTCCTGTCACTGATCCTTGGCTTTCAGTCGCCGCGATTCCACTGTGCCGCCTGTCCGCCCCGTGCTGCTCAAGTCGTCGATCTGGTCAGAACTTCTTGCAGCTCGGGGGCTCTACTTGTCAGCTGATGGCATTGTTAGTTTTGAGCATACTGAACTGTTCTTTGAATCGGCTGAGGAAGGCTCACGACCAGGTACACTACCACGACAGCCAGCAAGAACAAGAACCAGAACAAACACGATAGCAAAGAGCAACGCTCACTCAGGATCTTGGTGATGGCAGTGGCTTCCTGTCTCTGGGTGCCCGGCCCAGTCTGGGGGGGTTGCTGATTCTGGGAGGTCGGGCAAGTGCCGAAGGCTCTTCAATATTCAGCCTGCATCCTCGAAGGAAATGCGGTCACGAATCCGTAACTGCCGTGTTAACATGTTTGGCCACAGACTTTTGACTCTGAACACTTCATGTCGCTGAGATGCTGGCCTATGTGCTGGTGGCGCAGCCCTGGAGACGGCCTGACATCCCGCAGAGCAGCGTTCAAACCGTGGAGGAGGTGATGCAGCACAAGCCCTACACCTGGTATAACTGCACCTCAGCTCAAGCTTTATGAACACTTTTCCCAGGCTTGCGCCCACGTCGTCGGTGTCCCGCGTGTTGCGCTGCATCGGACCCAAAATGGCGGTGAGCACACAGCACCTGTTCCGTGCACCACCGCCAGAAGTCCTTAATCCAAGCAGGCACAAACTGGGAACAGAAGCAGTTCTGTTGTTTTCGCCGCTCCTCGGCTTGCCTGCGTTTTGGAAGAAAAGGCTGGGACCTGGGCCTGAGAGTTGACTGCTGTCCGTTCAACTACCCTCCCAGAGAGCTCAAATCACGCCCAAGGCAACCCGGTCTATGTTCTGAAATGCGCATACACGAAGGCAAGGTGGGATCCTTTCTTCGGTCACACCCGGGATTGCAGCTGATTCCCCGATCTGTCCATATAGTTCCCCATGTCTTTTTACATGTCTGTGCCAGGTCAGTCAGCTAGGCGCTTTGCTCGCCTCCGTGTATATCCGTCGTCTGTCCAAACATAGAAAATATGAACGTTAATGAGCGTGTACATACATGTGTAATTGATTGCGAAGCTCAAAACTCAACTCTAAGTATCTGCTTTGCAGGACAAGAAGGACGGCGCGATCGATCCGTTCACAAATCCACACTCTGCTCGGGAGAACGAGGAGAAGGAGCTGCTACAGTAACGCCCGAAGAAAGGGATAGCTTGTACACCGTAGCGAGACGATGCAGGCTTTTGAACAGGAATTCACTCCCTCTACAGCCTTCCCCAACATTCCGCCAGGCACTACTCTACACACGGGGGAAGCTTGGCACTTTTGTGGATGGTGATAAGTTTTCTGTGTTAAATATGTCAGCCAGATCGCACATGGGAGCATGCAGCCGGGGCGTTGCAGTGATAGTGATAAGGAAAGAGTACCTCTTCATGCAGCGAGACCAGTATCTTGACTGCACCCATTGAGCCGTCCGCTGTATGCTTTATCTACTACCGCAGTGGGAGCTGATGGGTTACCGCGGTTACTGGTCCCACCAGCTGTGCCCCACGCGATTCGAAACCTTGGTCCGCGGTGCCGTACGGATAGATCGCTACAGCACTGTCACGAATAGCTGAAAAACCAACACCCGCGTGACCCGAATAGCCACAGTGCGCATGGATAGATTGTTCTACCACTGCGAAGCCCAAACACCTACGCCCACTGTGCGATGTAGACGGATCGCAGTATCACTGTCTCGAGTACTTGGGCCGCAGATGATGCCGAACACGTGAACCCCAAACCAACTGCATCTTAAAAGCAGCAGTCACCGGAATTCCTAGTCAGTGGCTCAGGGCTGCTGCACTTGAAGGTGAGGTTTTGAGATGTCTTGAGCTCTTGGAACTCACTGTCACACGATTCTGCTTTTATGCAGAGGCCTGCAGAACGGCCTTGCTTTTGAGGGGGATCAGCACCTATCCGCATGTGAGGACTTCGAGGTGTCTGTGAGTTCGAAGGCTGATATGACAGGTGAGCCTCCAAGACCTGGACTTCTGTGCTGCAGCGTGGGGCATATGCATTTTGATGATATCACACACAGTTTCGCTGAGGCAGCACTACGTCATGAAGAGGCCATGCGCTTGCCCCTCTGCTCCTGCCCTTAGCAGGATGCCAGTTTTCGTTCGTGCATTTCTGGTGGCTGCATACCGGCTCGCTGCCTCGACGCCCAGAAACCATGCAAATAGCGAGCAGAAGACATTGCAACAGGATCAGAGCCCTTTCAGTTGCAAGGAGTCAGCGGTTATGGCAAACCTGGGAGCTTATATGCAGGCTACACGACCGACTGGAGTTCGAAACCTACATGGAGATCCTGTTCGAGTATTGTCACTACTTTGCGTCCTTTGCCTGCAAGAGGTACGATGCAATCATCTCTAGTATCCTTCCACTGCGATTTTCCCCCGTTGCCAGCGATAAGTCTGACGTTCCAGATTTTGGACCCATTGGCACTATCGGCAGAGTTCCGAGTTTCCACGGCCAGTGATTTGCGAGTAAGGGGTGCTTGGAATGGAAAGGTCGACTTGGAGTTGCATGCCTAGTCAAAGTGTGAAGCTGCCGGTGTGCTTCCTTTAGAAGCAGGAGTCCGTGATGAGAAAGCCTGGAATCCTGACAGGATCCATGAGCTATATCCCGCACAGTTTCCAGTCGTGACAGCACTAGTTTTCTGTTAACACCCAGTCCCTGCCTTGCCGTAATCACCGTCACCAGAATCATCATCATGGACAGCAGCAGGACCAGCGCGCGCATGACAAGCAAGAGCATAACCGTCATTGCCATCAGGCTCAGCACACGGCACCATCATCACAACCAGAACGAACACCATCACCATTGCCATCGCCAGCACCAGCACCACCACCTCCTCCGCCCCCTCCACCATCGCGATCACAACGTTCTCCTCGACCCCCACTTGCTTCCTTCTGGTGACCTGCACGTCATGTGACCTTCCACTTCTCCAGCTGAGACAAGGAACTGCTTCTGCTTGGGGCAGGGAAAACCCGCACCTCCTGGCGGATACGAAGCGCCACTTCGGCCGCACTGGCAGTCCGGTCCGGTCCCCTCCAGCTTCGCCGAGCTGGAGAGGTGGAGGTTTGTCACGGGGGCCGAGCCTCAAGCCACAAGCCGCCCTTTTTTGAGACCTGCGGACGGGTCTGAGTTATGACCGAGGCTGAAGGCTGTCCTGGCAGGGGATGACACCGGAAGTCGTTCCTTGGGAAGGTCCCGCTCGGCCGCCTTGGGGGGCCATGGGCCCTGAGATCTCGGGATCCCCATAGCCTCTAGGATTCTGATTCTGATCGACTTCAAGAGGCTTCGAAGCAAATCGGAGATCGGAAAGAACAAGTTTGGAGTCAGGCACCCCGTTTTCTTCAGATGCGGAGAAGCCTCCATCTGGCAGAGCGTGGTGTATGATAGGCATGACCCGCAGACCAAGTTCTCACGGTTCAGACCGGAGAACCTTCGGTGAATGCACTCCTTGCTCGGTTTGCGACGAGAAACGCTGGACTCCTGCCATCTACCTCCGGAATTTCAAGCTTAGGTCGTAGGTCACAGTAGGGGCGACATAGATCAACAACTCGAGACGGAGCGCACCCTGAAAAAGCACTTCTAATTTGTACTGGTCTGCAACAGCAGCAGTTTTCCCAGTCTGTCATCTTGCCTTGAGCCAAAGAATCTGTTGGCTGCCTTTGTGCTGTCCCTCAAACGCGGGACAGTGCCCTTATCCTAATTCGTCTGGAAGTTCGGAAGTCCAGACAACTTTGCTGCATCAGAAAGGTTCCAAGCGCTGCAGGGTCGGAATGTGGGGTCGTGTGTACCCCCCAGATGCAGGAACTCGAGCCATCAGATCAGGCGTGTCCCTTGTCGACATGTTCAGCCCAGCGGTTCAGATGTATGTGCGATGGGTCAGTTGAGGTACGTAGGCACCGCCCATGGGAGAGTATGGCAGGTCGAACATATTGTGCATAGGAGCCTGACGGGTGTGTTGGTGCTGCCACATGCTGCTCAAGAAGCGATGCGAGAGGAAGTGAAGCGATGGAAGGGCTTCGCACAGTCTTGATTCATGTCTGAAGCCTCGATCTCGATCCTCAATTTGGAACCGCCAGACAGCCACATGCGGCTGCGAAGCTGCGCACCCCAGGCGCCCCCTGGAGGCCAGCAGTCAAAAGTCCTTAGCTCCAGTTGGCTTTCATGGCTATGGCTATGGCCCGTTGGCAACTTCCGCAGCGCAATGGCAACTATCAAGGTGCCCGGCCAGAATCGACAAAGCGCAAACAGAAGTTAGGTCACCAGACTGCTGCAGGGACATGGTTCTACAGAGTTCCTGTATCTGGAGTGCCAAACGCAAGCCGTAATTAAGCAGTCAATGCAGCTCCGAGGCAGCTCAAAGCCTGTGTAAAGAAAGAGCCGCCCGTCCTTGCAGGTGTCAGTCGATGGCCTTGCTGGTCCTCTTTGTACAGTGGAGGCTGCAAGAGACGACAGCCTCGACGGAAGCACCTGACAAAGAAGAGATCGAGAGAGTTTTAGCGAGAACGGGCAGGTCGAAGAGGCGGGCACGCTGCGGGATCTTCGCGAGGTGCGCTTTCGGAACACCCAACTGCGAGCTTACAGCGGGGTGGTAAGCTGTTATTATGGGAGGTCTTGCATTTTCAGCCCCAACGCGGAGCCAGGGCCAGGACCCCCAAGCAAGGTACTCTCAGGGCAGCCCTCGGGCAAGGGCAAGTTGCAGGCTCCGGGCACACGAAGATAGAACTGGAATGGGTTTTGGGCCGACACGTCGGAGGCCATCCACTCTGCCACGGGCATCCCACCGAGCCAGCAGCGACGCCCGGCTGTCATCTTCGTGGTGTTCGGTTCGTGGTTCAATTTGCGATCGAGGGAGTGTGGGTGTAGTAGGTCGGGCAGATGCCTGGCAGTTCCGTGACTTGAGCCGCTGGCAGAAACTGCAGATGCCAGGCTTGGTGCGTGGCGCCGAAGTCCTTCATGATGCTTCTCGATTAAGTGCTGGCATATCGCAGTTTGGCTTCGGGAGATTCCGATGGCTTGGTGCCATGGCAATGTGGTAATGTCCTGCGTGGATTTGAAGCCCATTGCTCCGAGTATATAGCTCCGAGTGAGCCACTCCATTGACCTTGTCGAGGATGCAATGACTGTTGGGGATGCCACTGCATCTCGTATCACGCTTCTGCGGCGCCCTGTTGACCAGGACGGCATGTCACCACAGGAAGACAGGGTCATAGCATCGGTGTCGCAGCTGGGGAGGAACGTGCTATCATGGCCGGCATTCACTTTGAGACAGAGACAGAGACAAAGAGAGGGATGAGTCCGGGATGAGATACTGTACTCGAAATCTCGTCCTTAGTGCCTCTCCTTCGTCAGTATGTAGTTGGGCGAATCTCAAAGCTGAAGATAATCAGTGCTGCAAGCCACCACTCAAGGCGGTCCAAAGCCGAACAACTCACGGCTTCACGACATAGTTTCGTTCCATGCATCTCTCCCGCACCGGTTGCATAACCCAGATGAGTTTTGAACCGTTGAATCCTCTAGAGATCCTCGCATGCAAAGACGGCCAAGTTTCCCTTCGCAATCTCCTTTTTCCCAGTGAACGACAGCTCCAATCATTGGGAAGTCTGGCGTGAGCTATGGCAGAACGCAGTCGCTCATGCCCAAGCCCCGTACAAGTGCAAGAAGATCGACCCGATCTTGTGAACGCATAGTTTTCACCCCAGTTTCGTTTTGTCCCGAAAAGCCGGGACCAGTTTTGACACTCACCACTCGTGGAAAACATCAAACAGCTGGCACAAATACGGACAACAAAAAGAGAGACATTCACGTCAGATAGATCCAAAACGTGGCTTCGGCCACAAGGTCTCCGGACCTCTCGAGGTAGTCTCTCGGTACTCTCGTTTGCAGCTTGATGCAGGCACAGCGGTTGCAAAACCAAGTGGCAGGCGCCATAGGGCCGCAAGGCCTCTCGAGGTAATCTCGTGGTACTCTCGTACATCCCAAATCAACACACCTAGTATTGTTCCCTTAAAGTCACACCACCTGTCGCTCCATAATCAAGCGTATGTCATGAAATCGCTAGCCCCGAAAACAAAGTGTACAAGCCCTGAAAAAGCACAACTCAACCTACTGACATCCCCCTTGACGCCAGCAGACCCCCCAATGGTGATGCGGGAAAGCCGCGCTGCCGCTCATCGTTTCGATGACCGACCAGACAACGGTAACCAACTTGCGAGCCCCAAACCATGCCGTAAGTGTAGAAGCGAGGTAGCACGCATAAGACGCAAAGTTAACCGAGCATTGATGCGTAGTGCTCATCGCATTAGGTACCGTCTCATCAAAAAGCAGGCCGTCGACCTGGCTAGTCAGGCCAATGCTTTCCTAGCTCCAGAACCAGCAGGTTTATATAGTCCACAAACTAGCGCATATCTTCAAATTAAAACACGCTTCAAGTCAGTCACATCTAAATCAAGCTCGGAAGATGCATGTAGCTTAACATCAGAGATTACAGATTACCAGTCAGCTGTGCTTCAGAAGAAACACCTCGAAGAGTTCAAAATCGCTTCCCTCAATTGTAGAGGTTTATCCTCAGCATCGAAAAGAGAAAGAATCATACATCTTATAGTTAAAGAAAAGATCGACGTCTTATGCCTACAGGAAACCAAAATCAACCACAATTCCCAAGAAACTCATGAAAAATACAAGTTTTACTGGTCCACTGACATCCCAGATGATGCCAGAAATAAAAAGACTGAGCTAGCAACATCGGGCAAAGCATCACGAAACAATCCGAACCGTGGTGCTATCTTCAGAGATGCTATTGAACATGCAGGTGTTGGCATAGTGTTATCCCCCCACGCTGTCAAATATTTGATCTCGATACAACCGGTAAGTGGACGTAACATACGCGTGTCCCTCAAGATGCGTGCAGGTACACTCGATGTAATTTCCACATACGTTCCTCAAGCATGTCATGCTAATCCGGAACTAGCGCACCATCATTACCGTGAGCTTCAAGCTTTGATCGAGGATCGTTACACATTCTCTCCCAAGCTCATCTGTGGAGATTTCAATGCTAGACTCATCAAAGCGCTGCCACATGAATCCCCTGCAATAGGGCAGTTTACACTAGGTGCACAAACTCACGATCTTGATATATTGAGCGCTGCGCAACTTCAAAATAGGTCTCGTATGGTTGAGTTCTGCCTCGAGTACAACTTTTTAGCATCAAACACAGCAGATGAACATCTTGTCACGTATAAATCAGTTGGAGTAAAGCACTGGACACCGCCCTGGCAGCTACACAAATACGCACAGATGGACTACATCCTGATCAACGGTCGCTGGAAGAAGGCCATCAACAACGTTGACACATCCTACATTCACACCGTAGATACAGATCATAAGCTATTGATTGCGAGTGTGAAGTTTCAGCTGAAAGCCAGCCCTCCTAAAACAAACACTTCGAAGATGAAGTTGCGTAAACCGGATAACGTTCAATTACATATCCTTGCGCTGTAACTGCTTCGAGTTCTTCAAGGAGGTGGTTTTCCTTATCCTTTTTGGCTTGTGTTGTAATATCTTTGCTAATCGAATCAGCGACATCCCATTTTCAATAGCTTGCCACTTCTGCTCTAAAAGAGCCCATGTGCGTTGCGAAATATACTCCTTCTTTTGCTGAGGGGGTTGTACAGGCAAGTAATCATTAGCGGATTGGAGAATAATTGCGTTCAACTGGTCGAAGGTTAAATCTGCACAATTCGTCTTATGTAATTCCTGCAAAGCTTTACTGGCGACTGCGGCATTGAATTGATAAATGGAGTGGCCTCAAACGTCTCCGTGCTAAGTTCACTCCCAAATTCACCAAATTCAAGAACAAGGACGGTACATTTATACATCAAGCTGAATATCCTCAAAAAGCTGTTGAGTACCTATCTAAAACCCAATGGGGTGGTTCCTCTTCGTCAACCTCCTTCCCGCCTCAACCGTCTAGAGAGAACAATCCACTACAGAATGGATCATATGTTGTAGATGAATCCCCATTCACCCTTGATGAACTGGATTATGTATGTCGACGAATTAAAGCTCGAAAGACGCCTGGCCACGATGGAGTGCCTGGTGAGCTCTTCAAATGGTTAGACAAAGATAACAAATCTTTACTATTGAATGCCGCAAACAAATATCTTGAAGGAGGAGAAGTCCCCGAACAAATCCTCAACGCCGTAGTCGTATCGATTTGCAAAAAAGGTGATTCTACTTCTCTTGAAAATTATAGACCGATTTCGTTGCTGACGTCATGCTACAAAATTGTTGCCGCACTAGTTAAAGAAAGATTAGACAAAGGGTTGGACGCATGGCTCATGCAAACGCAATATGGTTTCCGTAAAGGTAAAAGTACGAGTCAAGCAATTCTCGTGGCCAGAAGATTGCAAGATATGGCAGAGAAATCAAATTGTAGCAGCACTTTGATACTATTAGATTGGGAAAAGGCTTTCGACAAGATCTTTCAGCATAAACTCATCGAAACTTTAAAAAGGCTGAAGGTACCGGATAAGATTAGGAAATTGGTGGAAAACTTTTATAGGGACCCTCAGTTTAAAGTTAGTATGGATGGAAATGATTCTGAATGGCTAACTCAACATACAGGCATAAGACAAGCCTGCCCGCTTTCACCTTATTTATTTTGCTTAGTCATGGGAGCCCTTTTTTCGGATATCAAAGTTGAACTCAACACTCCCAGACAGCACCAGCACATTGATGGCATTTATTTCTCGGAAATTCTCTTTGCGGACGACACTCTAATATTCGGGGCAAATACACATTGTGTTAATGTTCTTCTTCATGCAATAGAAAAACATTCAGCCTACTATGGTCTCACTCTGAATTATGGAAAGTGTGTTAATCTCACTGCGAACCAAAAGCAATCTTCTGTCAGATTCTCCCCCTCAGGTCCGGCGCAGAGCTGAGGTTTCTAACAGAATCGGTGACTGCATAGCTACGTGCAACCGCTTGAAGTTGTTCTGGAATAAAGCTAACAACAGTATAAAATGGAAAATCCAAGTATTCAATGCTATCGTCCGTTCCAAATTACTTTATGGGTTAGAATGTGTGCAGCTAACTAGTGCGGAGCTCTCTACATTAAATGCCTTCCAGAACAAATCGTTGAGAAGGATCTTACACATCCCACCTACATTCATAGACAGAGAACAGACTAATGTCAGTATGTATGACAAAATACGAAACGAATACGGTTGTTCTTTTGAACACTTTGCGGACACATGGCGAAAAGCAAAGTTTCGGCTTTTTGGACACGTATTGTGAGCCAGCCCAGCAGACCCTCGAGTTCAAGTTACTTTCAAAACCGACGGATTGACACCTAGAGCTTCCACCAAAAGGCGGCCAGGCAGGCCCAAAGCAGACTGGACCACCGAAGCCTATAAAGATGCATATAATAATATAGTATACTCCATGGAGATGCTAACGCTTTTGACGTCAATAATATACAACATCTAAATGACATAAAACAATCAGCCAGAAATCGTCAAGGACCTTTTGCTGCATATCATGTAAGTGATACATCGGGACGCTGTCCCAAAGGCCATCGGCCTCTCGAGGTATTCCTCGCGGTAATGTCGTCATTGTTGTTTGGGAAGTGTGGTGCAAAGTTTTTCCATTTCTGTATACTTATTACAGCGCTAAATTTCTCGAAGATAATGTACCCTCAATGACTGCTGAACTTGTCTCACTGTCCTAGTGTACCTCTACTCGTGCTTTTGCATTCTCACAAGCCTGCTGGGAGCCCTTCTGCGCTCGACAGAAAAAGAGATCCTCTCAAGAGGAGCGCATCCTGGAAGCAGTTGGCTCGGGGGGAACCTGGAGATCCGCGTTGGCTGGGTGCTCGGAGGACTCGGGGGCATGGGACTGGAAGCCTGGGCCCGGCCTGCAGCTTGTTTTTGCATCCCTGAGGCCAGTGCGTCCGAGGCGGTGCGCGGGGACAAGGCGCCCATGTGGCTATAGGTGGGTTCTCTTCGGCGAAAGAGGGCCAAGCAGAGTTGTGGACCTGAATGAGGGTCTTCATGGCTTGATGACGTTTCCACTCACGGTCTGTTGCAGGGCCTAGCTTGTCTAAAGCTGCTTTCGGGACGATGGCCGTGTAATGTTTGGAGTGCAGGAGATTATCTTGAAAGCGGTGTCTGCTGATGGATCTCTGCTTCGGTTTGCTGATGGCCAGCTCCAGGCAGGAATGTTTGCCGTGCACTTTCGAGATCCTGTGCTTTCGCACACATTTCGGCGAGGGCTTCCGATTTCAAGGTGCCGGACGTAGTTTCCCCTAAGAATGCTTTGGCCTTGGCCCCTCCGGGGCCTCATAAATTTATTGATGGCCCGCACAAGCAGGGACTGTTTTTTCGGTGCGCGTGTGTGTGTGTGTGTGTGTGTGTGTGCCGACTACCACAATTCATGTGCTAATTTGGCTGCGAGTCGGGGACAGCGATGATATGTTTCAGGCGCCGGCAGTGCTGTCGCATCTATATAATATGATGTCCAAATAGGGCTAAGAACTACGTACATGCATTTGGAATAATGCACTCGCACCCTGGGCCCAAATCGAAATAATTCGCACTTCCTGCAGGCAGATCGGGAAGTTGTCCTCGCCGCCGTGCGCCAGAACCGCATGGCGCTGCGGTTTGCGGCCAAGGGCTTGTTGCCGGAAGCCCAGAGAAGCGGAGCATGCCTAGCAAATCATGGGAGCGAGCTGAGCTTTCTTCACTCGAAGTCTAGAGTCCTAGAGAGCCGACCGTCAAAGGCCAAGCTCGAGCTCAATCCTGAAAAGAACCGAAAGCGGGCCACACTGAGTCAGGGACCCACGCCACAAACTTGCAGCCTGAAGCTTGCTTCGAGGACCGACAGAAGATTCGTGGAGGCTGCAGTGCAGCTTTGTGGCCAGGTCGGTGACACCAGAGCTGTCTTGTAACATGCGGTCTGTAGACATCACTAGGCGTCCTGAGGGGTTTGTGACTTTGTGCCGATTTCGCCCATGTCTCTCCAACGTACACCTTGAAGACCGTCACCGCTTTCGGGAATCTGCCGCGATCGGGAGATTCCATCCTTCTTGTTCCCCAGGCTTTGGAATTTGCGCCTGCGGAGCTGCGTGGTGATGCCGACCTGGTCCAGTCCCTGAGCGGCTGATCATACGTGACGATTTGAGCTGTGCAATGACAGTCTTGACGGATCCCCGCTGCCCGCCGCAGCACGCCCCCAGGGGCCCAGGAAGAACTCATCCAGAAGCCTTCTTGCGCTAGCAAAAGCAAATCAGGAGACATGCGAAGCATAGGGCCTTTCGGCCTTGGCTCTGGGTACAATCTGGTTCTGAAAGCCGAACCGAGGCTTGCCGCGAAGGATCCGTTTGTTCAGCTTGCCAGCGTGGTACTGTATGGGTGTAGTTTTGAAGGGTCTGGGTGGGTGTAGTGTTGAGTCAGTGTTGATGGGTTGGCATCGACCTTTCTCTGGCCAGTGCAAGGCTGGCCGGTGCGGCGCCACAGCAGCTTCACCCACAATTGTGCATAGAATCTGCAGAGACTTGAAATCCCTGCATGTCCTGCCGCATCAAGAAGCTTTGTTCGTAGATTCAAGTTCAAGCATCGCGAATCGGGGCAGCAAGAATTTTGCACCGAACGGCCTTCGGCAGGAGGATTTCCTGGCGCTAGAGTTCGCCGATCCGGAGCTGCTCGCCGACAAGAACTTCATGCTACCTGACGGCGCACAGAAGGTAAGTCACTTCCTACTCGTACTGCTTGCTTGGCATCTTGCCGAAGCCGCTTGCAGGCTCTCCGCCGTGCGTGCCAATGCCATGGCCCTCATCTTTGCCTCACCAGCTCTTCAGAAGGCCCCCGACCCGGAGCTTCGACATCTGCAGGCGGTACTTGTGCAGCAGTGCTGCTGTTCTGCATCTATGGGGTGTTGTGCGAAGCGAATTCGTGTCGAGCTTGCTCTCTTTAGCCATCAAGCAGGACCCGGACCTGCAGCAAGCTTCTCGAGAGCAGAGAGCAGCTTTGCTGCCGCCGGAAAAGGCGCGGCCTCGCTGACTCGAAGCGCAGCAGTGCAGCAGCAGTGCCAGCGGGGCTTCGAGGCAAACATGCTTTCAGGCAGCTAGTAATTAGCGGTAGTCGTGGGGCCCGGCTTCAAACTCCGTTTCGGCACTGTGGTGCCGTGCCCCTGCGAAGGAAGCTGGCAACTTTCTGCGCAGCGGCGCCTTCGCCAAAGGAAAGAAAATGGAGCCTGCTGCAGAGCTTGATCTGGTCTGAGCTTCGAAGTTAAGAGCACGGTGAAGCACATCCCCGAGATTGCTTCAACGCTTGCGCACCTCCGTAGATTTTCCATCGGCTTTGCCAGCAAGCCAGGAAGTGCACCACTCGCATGTTCTCATCTGCGCGCTCGCTCATGCACATGACTGAAACCCGGGAGTTTGACACTTCTACGCTTCCTGAATGAAGTTTTCCCTTCTTCTGTCGCGCAATCTGCAACAGGCCAGCATGGAGGGCGTGGTGGACACCACCACCTGGCTCATGAAAGAGGCTTGGAGAGGGGATCTGCAGCAAGTGCATTGTAGTCCTGTACGCAGCAAGAGCCAGGGACAGAGTTTCTTTGAAGCAAGTGTGGACGCGGAAGTCTGCGTCTCTGTCCGCAAAGCGCCAGAAAAGCCCTACGAATCCCGAGACCGCCGGAACAGGTGGACAAGATCTGTCCTCCCATCGATCTGCCTCCAAGACACCCTGGCATGTCCCGGGCAGAGAGGCCTTACGGCTTGGCAGTTTTCTGTGCTGGCGGGCCTTTGGAACATGTGTCTTGTAACTCGAGTGAATAGCGTTCCGCATCTGCCTGACTTTCACTTGCGCAGATCATGCCACGGTGAAATTTTGCAAGTGTCCTCGCAAAGCCGGAAACTCTGTCGAAAGTCGGATGTGACATGTCCCATCTCAGCACTCTAGCCGGCAGCATGAACTTGGATCAGGCACCAACGGATGCTCACGGTGCAACGCTATCTCCATAGCCAGCCCAAGGAGTGTCGGCTGCTTCGGTCTGAGGCGTTTTGCAACCACCCGCAACTTCGTGTGACTTGTGGTGGTTCTTTGGTTCTTTGTCGGTTTTGAGTACTTCTTGGATTACCCGGGGGTCTTGAACAATGCCAACGCAGGACAACGAGCATAGGTACGATACTATCGGGGTTTGTGCTGCACCTTCCAACATTATGCTGCAAGTTACTGCAAGTTCGTTTGCCCAGTGCTGTTGTCGAAGGCTGCACCAGGAGGAGGTGCTTCACGTCCTGGGCTACTCACCACTCACTAACCACCTGCTGCTGGCTACTATCTCACTGTGTGTTTGCTTGCAATTGCTGCACCGACTCGAAGTTCTAGCCGCGAGGTGGGGAATGCCACGAAGCTGTCAGTGGAGGCAGAGCAGGCGCTGTATGAGGCGACCAGAAGGCCAGGGTAGTCTACTTGTCTTACGTGCAGCGCCAGCCTTTTTATTGAGCGTTGTAGCATCAACCCTGCTACCGTTAACAAGCTTCTTTCACCTGCCGGTCGAGGAGCGGCCTCGCGGCAAACGCAGCGATGCAGGCGGTGAGCCCAATTCGTGAGTTCGTGTCATTAAGTTACCGGGCAGAAGAGTCAGAAGAGGTGCTTTGCACTTTGCAGGTTTTCATACTTCGTCAATGGTTTCACAGTTTTACGGCGATCCCTTTACTTGCTGGTTGTACTCTGACTATTCCCCCAGTGGCCCTAGTGAAGTTTCACTCATCAGACTCCGAACCACATGCCTCGCCTGGGTTGTCCGAGTGTGAGCGCCGAAAGGAAAGACTGGGCTCGTCTCATGACAGTGACGCCGAGGCAGCATTGAGCCCAGCCTTGGCTTTCCCGCCTTACCACGGCCTGATCCCCAGCAGTTTGAGTGAAGCTACCGGGCTGGGTGATCATTTTGACTGCACCGCGTGGCGTCTACTCCAGAGATGCTTGCAGTCGCCAGGTCGTCTAGCTCCAATTGTGTAATATCAAACCAATGAACACTGAAAGAAGTGCAGGGGCAGGTCCCTGCCATTCACCTGCACATGGGGCAACCATGGCACGCAAACAGCAAACATTTCCATCCGATCTTGCCTGAGCCCGCAGAGCTCCGAGCACCAATCTACAAGGCCGAAGTGCTCTGTTGGAGACGACACGGAGAGACGGAGAGTGAAGAGAGACTGTCGCAGTATTGCGGCCCGCTTGAGAGTCACCAGCTTGCGAACCCTCCTCCATCCTTGCTGGAGTCCCCAGCCAGCTCTGCTCTAGTGCACCCAACCTGTGAGACAAGTTGTTGCAAGAGAGCAGCACCAGCCCGACTCAGCACAACAGTTCCAACTGGCGATGCTTTGTTCTTTGCTCAATGCATGATTCCGAGACAGATCAGGCCCGTCCTTCGAGCGGCCAGCTGACACGGTTAGCTGGGGGCCTGCAGGACCAAGGTGACAGCAACTAAATGCGGTACGGTAGACCTTGAATGTGTTGCCAAGAGCTGCCGCATATGTAGTCACGAGCTCTGATCTTGTGCGCTTAGACGAGTGGAGCTAAAACGGAGGTGCTGCAGCCACTCGTCGTATGTTCTGCTTTCTACGGTCATGCCGAGGCACCGAACATGTTGAGGAAGGCGAGCCGGAGAAAGGCGTCCCTGCGCGAGTCCTAGCACATCGTCTCAGCAGCGAAGGCGGTCTCAGCAGTGCTTCGTCCGAGGTCTGCCACCTCACCTGCCACCACATGGGAGGGAGGCACGTAATGTGGCTTTGGACGAGACGCCCAAACATCCTGGCGCATTCGAGGGATCTGCCTTGCTTCTGCAGCTTCGAGGGCTTGGGTCCGTTGTTTCACTTTGCCGTGGCTTGCCGACATTTCTGGTAGGGGCACAGCCCGGAAGCTCAGTTGCCAGCATCATGTTTGAGATTGTGCCTGTTGCCAGTATCTATACATATATATATATGTATATATATATATATATATATATGTGTGTATATATTATATAAAAAATGTATTGAAAGCAGTTTTGCCGGAAGAGGTGGACCAGCGACGAGGTGACTTGGCCGTGGCCGCGCCTGGGACTGTGAATTGTATGGTAAGCTCTATTATTGAGCATAGGACCCCTTTGAAAAGCATCGGGGTCGTAGCTTTTGAGAGTATATTGTATCGACAGGGGCCGCAATGCACATGTATTGCATCAGCATCGTTTTGTGCGACAGGTGCGGGAAGATGTGACTTGTGGAATCATAGAAGGTTGGCGGGGGTGATCGTTCTTTGCAGGCATAACTATCCGTGGAACGTGATTGTGTTTTGCCTCGTTACTTAGCACAAGCATACTTGAAATAGAATCGCTAAAGGTAGATAGGTGGTGATAAATTCAGACTCCTCTATCTCCGTATGTCGCTGTGGGATTTCTTCAGGTTTCGTTGGGACGGTCTGAAGTCTGAAGACTCTGACGCGACAGAATGACGTTGAACCACTAGCAAGCAGTATGGCAAGTCCTATCAGGCCCTTGCTGTAGCCCTCGCCAGTGGCCATTCCCTTCGTTTGAACCTCTTGCAAGGAAGGATGAAAAGGCTTCGTCTTTCCTCTTGCTGTGACGGGCCATTTTCTGGGATGCTTGTACAGGACGCATCATGCAGCAGAGATCAGCAAGCCAAGCCGTGACCCTAAATTCAAACCACAAAGCCGATCAAGACTCCAAGTCTTTAAACCCGAAGCAAGCTGCAAGCTTCGCGAACGCCGAATTGCCTTTACCAGTAGCTGCAAAGTCTCAGCTCCAAAGTATGGCTTGGCCCCCGAAAAAGATGGCCTTTCTACGGGTTGTTCTGTTGGAAGTTGTCGTAGTGTTGCCTCCGATTTTCGGAGATGCAGAAACCTGGGGGGGGGGGGGGGGGGGGCGGGCAGGGTACTGTCTATGGTCTGGTTTATAGTATTAAAATAATGCAGACCTGTACAACGCTTTCCCAGTCTGCAGCCCTCTCAGTGCAATAAAGTCCAGGCTTTTGTGGAATGCTTCATGCCCTACCTAAACCTCAAGCATCGTTCAACCTAGAGCTTTGATCATGGGTCTTTCGGCGGTTCCAGTGGTGGACTCCGGTAGAAGCAGTCACAGAATCGGCCCCTCTTTCCGGATTCTCACCCAGCCGACGGTTGTCCTGTGTAGATGCTCGTTCTCGGTGTAGAAGTGAAGCAAGAGTGCGCATGCTCGAAGCGCACTTTGGTCCCTGCTTAAGTCGTTGGGATCCGGCTCGTTGCCAGTTCAGTTGCACTGTGCGAGCACCACAAGTCCATGCGGGGATCGACTTCACGTGGCCTAAACTCCGGGATCTGCTTTTCTTTACCATTTCACTTCAACCTTGCTTGGAGAGCCGGTGTCGCAGCCCTCAGGGTCAAGACGCTTCCTGGCCTGCTCGCGCACTTGCCATGTCGCCCATGTCGCCGATGTCGCCGATGTCACCCATGTCGCCATCAATCGAGAGCAGCGGGGAGGACGAGGAGTGCGCGCCTGAGAACTTGACCGCGTCGGAGACACTTCCACTTCGTCTGACTTTCCAACTCATAACTCCTCATATGCCAAGGCAGCCACGCTGGTGCGGACATCGCCGAAGTCACATCGTTCTTTACGTTGTGGCCGGATCTTCGCACATGAACAATCTTTTGGATCAGTTGGCATTGTCATTTCCTTATGTGCGCAGAGAGAGAGAGAGAGAGAGAGAGAGAGAGAGAGAGAGAGAGAGAGAGCCGTAGCCATTTTGGCTCAAGCCGTGAGCGGTTCGAGCCCCGAGCCCACAGAGAGAGAAGGGGAGCAACCCGGGCGTCCGAGCGAGAGAGCCGCGCCTGCATAGCCCTTTGCCAGCTGTACTACAAGTGTGCAGCCCTACGCGACCTCTCCATCCTCGCCGGCCTCCGCGAGTACGGTGGCCACAGAGATCAAGGGGACCGGCGCCTGGTGGCGAGAGGGGGACATTGTCAACCACTACCACAACGAGATCGGCGGGGCCCCGCGATCATCGCCTTCAAACCGATCCGCCGCAAGATGACCGGCAAAGGCAGCACTCCGGGGGCACCCAGCCAAGCACCCGCGGGAGACGACAGCCAGCTTACCGGGGCACGGACGACGCAAGTCTCTTCCCAGGAAGCCCTCACCATCCCGGACTCTGAGGACCCGGTCGCCTTCGGCAACATGACTGTGGACCACGAGGGGAACTCCCCCCAAAAACGGGGACGCAGTGCCGCAGAGAACGCTGGCGTCAACGCGGGGACATTGGTGGCGCCGACCCTCACCGTGGAAGCCATCGCACAAGCACTCCGGGGGGAACTGCGTGAAGGCTTTGCGCAGCAACAGACCCGCCTCTCCAGGGAAATCAAAGACGAAATCGGGGAAGCCATCACCAAGGTGAACCGTCGCATCGAGGACGTGGAGCGGGGAGTGACCAAGCAGCTGAACAAGGCCCTGACGGGGATGCAAGAGCTCTCGACCCGGCAAGACAAGCAAGGAGTTGCCATAGTTCAAGTGGGGGCAGAGACCAAGCAGCTCGCCAACAAGATCCTGAACCTCGAGGAAAAGCTCGCCAAGCTGGAGGGACGGGGACCCGGTCACCGCCCCGAAACCGGGGACGCCCGCAGGCCCGCCTTCATCGTCGGAGGATGGAGTCCCGACCAAGAGGCGGCAGTGACTCTGGACAAAGCCAAGGCTGTACTCCGAGATTTACAAGTGGACGTGGACATGGAGGATGCGTTCGTCCCGGGGCTCCGCAGAGGATACGTGATTGTGCCGATGGCCGCCAGGACTGACGAGGACACGTACACCATGCGAGACCGTGTGCAGAAGGCGGTCGTGAGAGTCCGGAACGCCAACGTGACGCTGGGTGAAAGAGAGGACGGGACACCGTCCCGCTTATGGATGGCCATCTCGCAGCCACCAGAACGCCGGAAGAGGGCCCAGCTAGCGGCTAAGGTGAAACGCTTGGTCCTTGAGCAGCACGGGTCCCACCAAGCCCTGGATGTCGAGTTCTCCACGGGGTCGGTGTGGTATGATAACCGCAAAATTTCCTCGACCGGGGGACCCAAACCTGAGGGGGCAACCGAGGCAGGACTGGGCTGGGTTGATCTGAACCAGATTGCCCGCATGCTCGGGGTCACTGCGGAGAACATCCAGGAGGCCTGGCAGCCGCTTGCGGCGGCCTTGCGGTGACTATCTCGAGACCAACGACGGCAGTTTCACCAACAGCGGGGGCCGGCCCGGCGGCAGGCAACCCGCGACCTTGTTGTGGCAACCTGGAACCTCGGGGGCCTCACCCCGTCCAAGACGTTGGAGGTTCTCTTGCCCGCGATTCGGGGATCGCCACCGCTTCACAAAGTTGATGTATGGTGTTTCCAAGAAGTAGTTGTTCCCGAAGGGATCAAATACGACGCCGACCGGAACTGGAGAATGGTGTCCGGGAAAACAGACCGAGATTGGAGAGGAGTAGCCGTGGCCTTTCGCACAAGCCTGGGGACGCACTCACGCACCAGTCTCTCTCGTGCTGCGTTGAGCACATGCATCGTCAACGGGGGCAACATCCTATGCGGGGCCGCCTCCTACCACTTGCCCCACCACGCAACGGTTGACCAAGTCGGGGTCCAGCTAGCAGCCCTTGCAGAGCACCCGGCCATCCGAGAAAGCAGAGTGTTCCTCGGGGTGGACGCCAACGAGACCCTCACTGCCAGACCCGGGGGGCAAATTGCTGTTGCCCACACCGCCCGCGGGGACTTCCTGCTCACGTGGATGTTGGACCACAGCCTCCGCCTACCACCGCAACTACTGGAGCAACCGAGCCACTTCCCCTACAACCCAGAGCTCAGGCCACGCCGCTTGGACTACGTGTTTCTAAAGGGGACCCATTCGGCCGAGGCCCACATCGGGGACCACAGGGACATTCCCGCCTCGGACCATGAAGCCGTGGCCCTGGTGACTGCGATGCCGCAACCTGGGGACCCCCGTGGTGCGCAACCATGCTGCGGAGCTCGGCCCCTCAAGTTCCCGCCGATGCCAGAGAAGGAGGTCCATGACATTCTCAAGCCACACGGGGACGTCTACGCTGGACTTAAGGACGCAGCCTTCGCTGTCACCATCCCGAGACCCGGGGAGAAGTTCAAGGAGAGCGAAGCCGTCAAAAGACTTCGCAACCGAGCCCAGTGCGCTCCAGCGGGGCCTCCCGAAGGCAGGCTTGGAAGCAAGTCAGCCGGGCAAGGAAAGAGGAGCACAAAGCCTGGTCCCAGGACCTCGCGAGACGAGCCGGGGAGCGCTCCTGGTATGCGTACCGTGAGATCAAGAATCAGACGAGGCGAGACAAGCAGTGGGAGGAGAAGCTCACGGACCACCCAGAATGGCGGCAGCAGCTGACGAAGCACTTCCAGGCCATCTTTGCCAAAGAGGACCCCACGGCAGTGCGCGACAGCGCGGCGCGGTTGACGGCCCACCTCACCGTCAAGTGCAAGCACACACCCTGGCAGCCGTTCCTCGAAGAAGACCTGCGGGGGATTATGGCCAAATGGCGTAACAACAAGGCGACGGGGGAGGATCGCATCAGCCACGAAGCCGTACGCTACATCTCACTGACGAGGCAGGGCCTCTCCAGACTGCTGTGGCTTTTCAACGACATCCTGTACAAGGGGACCTTCCCCCCTGGCCTTTGACGGCGGCATCGCGGTCCTTCTCCCAAAGACCAAGTCCCCAGGCGATTTTGCGGACACCAGACCTATCACGTTGTCCAACATCCTGCTCAAGATCACCGCTCAGCTCCTGCTAAGGAGGGGACTTCCCCTGCTGCGGCCCATCGGATCCCTCCAATTCTGCAAAGCGGGCAGCCAGTCGGTGGAACTCATCTTGGCATTGCGGCGGTTAGCCCAACAATCCCGAGAATGGCAAGAAAGGTTCTGGATCATCAAACTGGACGTGCGCAAAGCCTTCGACTCCATTAGCCAGACCTACCTCGGGGACCTCATTGCGACCAAACTCGGGGACGCCTTGCCGTGGGAGGCCCGCACCTGGCTACAACTCATTGGCGCCCGAGAGTTTCACGTCGTCCTCGGGGACACTGCCGTACCGATCTCCCAAACCAACGGGGTTCGCCAGGGCTCCCCCGACTCGCCTTCGTTGTTCTCGGCCGGCATCGGGGAGGCCATTGACCAAGTGACCGAGGACCTTCGGGGAGTCCCCCGCCCAAGTGTCAACCCAAAGCTCCCGCCAGCACCACACGGCATCGGGGCGTTTATGGACGACACCTACATCTGGGGCTCCTGCCACGGCTGGATTCAGAAGTGCCTCGAGGCCGTCCAGGCACGCTTCAAGCAGCGGGGACTCGAAATAAACCCCAAGAAGACGATGGTTCTATGCAGCATCGAGGGAGGAGAAGGTTTCGTAATCGGGGACCGCACGGTCGCGGCCGACCCCCCCAGTGCCATCATGCCTGTACTGGGCTCCCCGCTTACCTTCGTGAACCAACCAGCCGCCCTGGTCTGCGAGATGCAGCATAGGGCACGACGGGGCTACCACGCGAATAAGAAGATCCTCGTGTGTAAGGAAGCCAAGCTCGACGACCGGTTGAGGTCATCAATCACCTTGATCAGGAGCGCCGCCCTGTGGGCCTGTGAAACTTGGCCGCTCTCCGATTATCTCCTCAGAGCCGCGAATAGTGTCCAATATCACTATGTCCGCGAAATCATTGGCCGCAAACGGGGGCCACAGGAAGCTTGGCTGGCTTGGAATCAGCGCACGCTCCGCGAGGCCAGAATGGAAGTCTACAGGAATAAATGCTGCGGGGGAAGGTGGAGTACGTTCATCCTGCGCGTACGGTGGCAACTGCTCGGGCACATTGCCCGCCACCCGAGCCCCACTAGGGACATCCTCGTGTGGCGCAACCAACAATGGTGGCAGGAGCAACAACGGCTCGGCCCAGTTGTCGGGGCCAGGCACCCGCACCAGTTCAATTCCCAGCTGGACGATGAAAGGAAAATCATCAAAGCAGCGGGGACCGACTGGATGCAGCAAGCTTGCGACCGACTGCACTGGCAGCACCTGGTGGATACCTTCATCGACCAGCAAGACGTCGAATGGGCCACCGGGAAACAGGCTAAGCTCCAGAATATCAAGCAAGCCAAACCGGCCGCCCCGAAGAGAAGAGCACGGGGGCAAGCGAGAGCGATCCTCCCTCCCGACCATACACCGCGCACAGCAGCAGTGCTGGCGATTACAGGGGGAATGTGCCCCTAGACCAGCAGTAGAGCGGGGGACCGGATTTTTCGGCAACGAGCCGACCACAGCCACAGCAATTTATATATACTCCCTCTCCTGACTCCGCTTCCTACTCCCTCTCTCCGATATACATACATGCACGTGCCGGGGGCCAGGGCAAGAGAACGGGGACAGACCTGGTGAGCACGCCGTTTGCATGCTCAGCAGCTCTCAGCCTCGAAGAGACAGAGACAAAGGTCGCACCAGAAGCCAAGTATGTCGGCAGCGCGCCGTCTGATGCCATGGGCTGCCGCCGCCGCGGGCGTCCTACTCGCCCTGGCGACGACCAGGATGGGAGACCCCCGACAAGAGCCGGCAGCACGACCAGAGATGACCGGGGGCCCCCCGCCGGGAC